GATATTATCGCAATATGTAGAAGCATACGATCCTCTCTCATAATAATTTTCAGTAGCATCATGAATGAATTCAACAATATAACCAGCACTTAAAGCATTCTTTTCATGATCTACAAGCATAAAAAATTTACTACTCTCCACATAAGCAAAATTCTTCTCATTCAGAATAGTGGAAGTATCACAAGAGACATGAATACTATAAATTGTTTCCACATTAAAAGAGTAATGTTCAGAAAAAGGGTAATCATAATCATGACAAGTTTTCTAAATATAATCATCACTACTTTTTATAGCATAAGTTTCATCACAATAATCATCATAAGTAGCAACTCTGTTCTCATCATAATCGATTGAAACCTCTTCCAAGATAGTGGAATCATTGCTAAATAAAGTTATGACCTCTCCAAATCCACTTTCATAATCGTCAAAATAAGATTCAACATCCTCCAAAATAGTGGGATCATTAATTCCTAAAGTTGACACTCTTCCAAACCCACTTTCATCACTATAATCATCATACATAGAAGGCATGCTATCATTATTATTAATTTGCATATAAAAACTTGGGAGACTAAAAATATCATCTTCATTAAAGGTAGCATTCCCAAGATTGGGACAAACATTAATTGCAGAAAATATATTCTCCAAAAAATCATCTTCATCAAACATAGCATCCCCAAGCTTGGGCCTTTTCATATCATAATCATAATCACTCTCATCATTAATAGTATGGATAGCACCAATAGTATAGCAATTATCATATTCTTCCAAGCAAGTGCCAAAAAGATTTTCAAGATCATAAGAAGTATTATTATCTTCCCAATCATAATCATCACAACAAACAATAGGCATAACGACATCATCATCAAGTGCATCATCTTCCACAATTATTTTTGATTCATTTTCATGAGGCACAACAATAATGGGAGCAACTTTATTTGGGAGAGATATCTTTTTACCTCTCTTCCTTTTTCTTTTCTTCTTCTTCACCACATCATGTGTGGGTTCAATCCTCTTTTTGGAGCTCCTTATTAAGGAGATTGGTTGAATAGAAGGCTCCTCCTCGTTACCTGATTCATCATAAGAAATAATAGGAGGATATTGGGAAGTCTCTTCCCTTTCGTTAGTATTCTCTTCATCCTCTATTTGTTTTCTTTTCTTTATGTAATTGGCAATATAAGGATTTTCAATACAATTCACCACACAATACATATAAATTTCTTCTAGATCAAAGTGAAGAACTCTATCAAGGGCAAAGTCTGGAATATCCTTAGTTATACGTTTCATTTCTTCATAACCCAAGAGCAAACTAAGTTCATTATGATGTGCAAGGGAAATCAAGTCATCACAATTTTTGGACACGATACGATCATGAAACAATTTAAATTGGGTACTGAAATGATCATGTTCATTGCAAAGTTCACAAGTATGGCTAAGAAAATTTAAATTTCCAGCACAAGCATCTAGCCTTTCTTGCAACCATTTAGTTTCTAAATGCATATGCCTCTTGCAATATCTATCTGCCCTATTTGATGTGTACTTGCAAACCCAATGCACTCCTCAAAAATTGACATGCTTATAAGAGATATTTTTATCATGACTAGTGCAATCATCATTAGTACTATGGATATTCAAGGAGTTCATAGTAACAACATTGCAATCATCCTCATCATTCAAAGATTTAGTGCCAAACATTTTAATGCATTCTTCTTCTAACACTTTGGCACAATTTTCCTTTCCATCATACTCACGAAAGTTATTAAAAAGACGAAGCGTATGAGATAAACTCAATTCCATTTTTTTGTAGTTTTCTTTTATAAGCTAAACTAGTGCTAAAACAAGAAACAAAAAGATTCGATTGCAAGATCTAAAGAAATACCTTCAGGCACTCACCTCCTCGGCAACGGCGCCAGAAAAGAGCTTGATGTCTACTACACAACCTTCTTCTTGTAGACGTTGTTGGGCCTCCAAGTGCAGAGGTTTGTAGGACAGTAGAAAATTTCCCTCAAATGGATGACCTAAGGTTTATCAATCCGTGGGAGGCGTAGGATGAAGATGGTCTCTCTCAAGCAACCCTGCAACCAAATAACAAAGAGTCTCTTGTGTCCCCAACACACCCAATACAATGGTAAATTGTATAGGTGCACTAGTTCGGCGAAGAGATGGTGACACAAATGCAATATGGATGGTAGATATAGGTTTTTGTAATCTGAAAATATAAAAACAGCAAGGTAACAAGTGGTAAAAGTGAGCGTAAACAGTATTGCAATGCTTGGAAACAAGGCCTAGGGTTCATACTATCACTAGTGCAAGTTCTCTCAACAATAATAACATAATTGGATCATATAACTATCCCTCAACATGCAAGAAAGAGTCACTCCAAAGTCACTAATAGTGGAGAACAAACGAAGAGATTATGGTAGGGTACGAAACCACCTCAAAGTTATTCTTTCCAATCAATCCGTTGGGCTATTCCTATAAGTCTCACAAACAGCCCTAGAGTTCGTACTAGAATAACACCTTAAGACAGAAATCAACCAAAACCCTAATGTCACCTAGATACTCCAATGTCACCTCAAGTATCTGTGGTTATGATCATACGATATGCATCACACAATCTCGGATTCATCTATTCAACCAAAACATAGAACCTCAAAGAGTGCCCCAAAGTTTCTACCAGAGAATCAAGACGAAAACGTGTGCCAACCCCTATGCATAGGTTCATGGGCGGAACCCGCAAGTTGATCACCAAAACATACATCAAGTGAATCAATAGAATACCCCATTGTCACCACGGGTATCCCACGCAAGACATACATCAAGTGTTCTCAAATCCTTAAAGATTCAATCCGATCAGATAACTTCAAAGGGAAAAATCAATCCATTACAAGAGAGTAGAGGTGGGAGAAACATATAAGATCCAACTATAATAGCAAAGCTCGCGATACATTAAGATCGTGCCAAATAAGGAACACGAGAGAGAGAGAGAGAGAGAGAGAGATATCACACACGTAGCTACTGGTACATACCCTCAGCCCCGAGTGTGAACTACTCCCTCCTCGTGATGGAGAGCACCGAGATGATGAAGATGGCCACCGGTGAGGGATACCCCTCCGGCAGGGTGCCGGAACAGGGTCCGGATTGGTTTTTGGTGGCTACAGAGGCTTGCGGCGGCGGAACTCCCGATCTATTCTATTCCCCGATCGTTTTAGGGGGTGTGTATATATATATATATAGAAATAGGTCAGTGGAGCCACGAGGGGCCCACAAGGGTGGAGGGCGCGCCCTAGGGGGTGGGCGCGCCCCCCTACCTCGTGGCTCCCTCGTTTCTTTCCTGACGTGCACTCCAAGTCTATCAGGTAGCTTTCCTTCCAAAAATAACTTCTCCAGAAGGTTTCATTCCGTTTCGACTCCGTTTGATATTCCTTTTCTTCGAAACACTGAAACAATGGAAATAACAAGAACTGGCACTGGGCTCTGGGTCAATAGGTTAGTCCCAAAAATAATATAAAAGTGCATAGTAAAGCCCATAAAACATCCAAGATGGATAATATAATAGCATGAATACTTCATAAATTATAGATACGTTGGAGACGTATCATTCTTCTCTGAATTATTATATGCATGATTTGATATCTTTGCAAGTCTCTTTGAATTATCGATTTAGTTTGGTCTACTAGATTGATCTTTCTTGCAATGGGAGAAGTGCTTAGCTTTGGGTTCAATCTTGCGGTGTCCTTTCCCAGTGACAGCAGGGGCAGCAAAGCACGTATTGTATTGTTTCCATCGAGGATAAAAAGATGGGGTTTATATCATATTACTTGAGTTTATCCCTCTTCATCATGTCATCTCGCTTAATGCGTTACTCCGTTCTTATGAACTTAATACTCTAGATGCATGCTGGATAGCGATCGATGTGTGGAGTAATAGTAGTAGATGCAGAATCGTTTCGGTCTACTTGGCACGGACGTGATGCATATATTCATGATCATTGCCTTTAACTTCTTTTTGTTTGCACTCTTTTGCAGTGTCCCTCCTCCATCTGTGGTGCCTCCATCTGCTACTTTAAATTGGTTAGCAATAACAGAAGTAATTCCCACTGAAACCAAAGCAGTGTTAGGGTCAACCGGTTCAGTGGCCGCCACCGGGCATATGTTTGAAACTGAATCGTCGGCTACCCTTTTCCCTAATATGAGGGGGTCTTCCTTCTGTATCTCGCTTTTCTGACCAGTTAGAAATTCTTTCCCTTCTGAGGCTGCTAAAGCATTGTAATGCCAATTTATGTTTATATCATATTCTTTTTTTTTGCAGGGATTTCTATCATATGCTGTAATCACTCCCTCTCCCAGAATATGGGTTTGAGCGCCCATCACATTCTTCTCTTTTGTGCCATTTTCTATGTCATCACTTCCCATATCTCTGCATTTGCATGTCCTCATGCACCAAAAAGGTTGCCTCTCTTTCCCCTTCCGCTGCCGCGTATTCCATATACCATCAGTCCCATCTCCTCGACCAGCTTGTGAGAGACGTGATTCAAGATCATGGTTCAGCCAAATCTATGGTCTATGATGTACGAATTAACATCCTACTACATGTGGATCTGTGACATGCATGCCAACTGTATTTTTTAATCAACACGCATGGATCCTCATGAATAGACATGCATGTCAACTGCATTTTTTAGTCAACCATGCACGGATCCTCATGAACAATCTAGAAATCAATGGTGTCGAGCGTAGGTTCGGTTGAACCATGGTTTAGTAAAACATTTTCGACCCATTCTATTGCCCTCCAGTTAGTTTTTTTTTTTGAGGTAACAAAAGGCCCAACAAAATCTAAAGCAGACTGGATGGCGGTGGGCCGGAGCCATGGGGAGTCTCGTAGCCGAAGTAAAAGTCGGTTTGCTCACCCTTTTTTCCTGGAGATAAAAACCCCCGACTCCGTGCTTGTTTCTCTCTCGCAACCGATTGCTCGATCTCCCGCAAATCCGCGCGATCGACATGGAAGCCCGAACGGATCACCAACAACCGTCCGGCGATCCTTCGCCGGGGCAACCTCGCTGGGTGTTGCTCCAGGGCAACATGATCTGCGAGGATCCCGCCGCCAGAGCAACAACTCCCATCGCCAGCGACGATCTCGACGCCGAGACCGTGGCGGATGCTCTGACCTCCGGAGGCCGTAACGTCCGCGTCTCTCTCCACCTCACGGCGCCACCGGCGGTGTCACGCCTGCGCGTCGACATCCCCGGCCTGCCGGAGGGCACCCAGCTCCTCGCGCAGATCATCGCGGCCCACGCGGACTCGGTCCTTATAGAGATCGAGACCAGCAGACCCGGCAGGTTTGATACTCACAAACGCGACTCGTTGGACTACTTCGTCTATAATGCCGGCGACGCCGCCGCCGACCCTTCCCGCCCGCCGTCGCTGTCGCTGCTGCCCCCTTACCACAAGGGGTCACCCAGGTGGAAGCGACTTATGCCTGTAGAAACCAATGCCCTCCTGCGCCGCGGCGACGAGGACCTGCTCGTGGCGCGGCTGACCCTCGATGGCACGGAAGGAGAGGCGCCGCTCGAGGCCGAGCTCTGCCTGCTCAGATCCGGCGAGTGGGAGTGGGAGCCCAAGCATCTTCCGGTCCTCCACGGCGACGGCAAGCGGAAGGAGGTGTCCTTCTGGGAGACCGATGCGGTCATCCCCGTCGGCGACCGGTTCTTGTACTGGGTGGACTACTACCGCGGCATCATCTTCTCGGACGCGTGGGAGGAGACGCCCCAGCTGCGATACGTGTCTCTTCCCGTGGAGCCCTTGGAACGCCGACCGCGCGACCACGACAGCGGCTCGAGCTACCGCGGCGTGTCCGCAACGAACGGCGGTGGAGCAGTGAGTTTCGTGGAAGTCTTTCTCCGCTGCTGCTGCGGCTGCCCGGGCGCCACCTTCTGCTCGCGCTCCCGCTACGCCTTCAACATAACCACGTGGACGCTGAGGATGGATGACGACATGGTGAGGTGGGACAAGGTCAGCGTGGTCGACTCCGACGAGCTCTGGTCGCTCCCCGGCTACAGCGGCGTCGTGCCACGCATCACACCAGAGTACCCCATTGTCATCCTGGACGACCCCGATATCCTCTGTTTCATGGTGCGCAAGCTCCCATACCATATGGAGGACGTTGACGGCGACCATGCGATACGGATGATCGAGGTGGACACGAATCGCATGGAGCTGCGGTCCATCGTCTGTTACGATGAGCACGACAACGATTTTTGCTCTCCTCCGGAGTTCATTCCCTGCGTGATCTCCCGGTACTTCGACGCCTCCTCTCGCAGCTGGGGTCCTCCGGCAAAGCTCCATGACCATGAGCAAGCACCGACGACGGTGGCAGCAACAGTTAAACTCGATTCATCAGATAACAAGGCAGCCATGGCTTCTCCTGGAGAGATGTTGGCGACACTCCGGGAGATAGGTGACCTGGAGCGTGATGACATGCTGAGAACGTATAGCGTTCTTGTGTGTGATGGGAGCCAGTTCAAGTTCAGGTCACTTTTGGCGCTTCCCAACGACATGAGGAAGGATTACTGCCTGCTGCTCATGCAAAATCGTCTATAATTGATTTGCTTCAGTAAAGCTACGTACTGATCATGATATGATCGCCATGTGATTACTGCCCATGGAGTGTTTGCGTTTTTGTCCAAGAGAAGGTTCAGTAAAGAAAAAAGAAAAAAAGAAACGGGATTGCTATTTTACATGTAGATGCAATTTACTTACCTCATATCTAAATATCTAACCATTGGATTCAATCACGAGGATTCATGTTTTCTCTTTAACACGTGTGAGCGCAAACCAGGTCAAGCGAGAGGCGCATTGGCCCACTATGTTCACCGTTTAGTTTGTATGTCCCTTTTTTTATTTCTTTGACTTGTCTCATTTTTCTGTTATCTCGTAACTGGGCCCATTTTTCTGTTATATATCCCAGTTGCAAGTTCATCCTTGACTCACAATATTGGGCATTTAGTGGTTTTTGTCCTGTTGCAAGCTCATCCTGGACTCGCAACTGGGCCGGTGGTTTGTTTTATCCCAGTTGCAAATCGACCCATGACTCATAGCTGAGCTCTTAGTTTAGTAGTTGTCCTAGTTGCAAGTCACCATCGACTCCTAACTAGGCTCGTAGTCGTCCGACTTTCAAGCCCATCATTGGCTCACAATAGAGTTTGTGCTTTCTTTTCATCCCAGTTCTTGGTCCACCCTTGACTCGGAACTGGTCCCATAGTTTGTTTCACCCCAGTTTCATAGTCCTCCCTTTTGTTTAAGGTCTTTGGTTGACCCAGTTGCAAGTCTACCATGAACTCGCAAGTGGCTTTATACCTGTAGTTGCCCCAGTTGCAAGTTCACCTTTGACTCACAACTAGGGCTTTCTTGTAGTTGTGGTAGTCTTATTTGCAAGACAACCATCGACTTGCAACTGATTTTTTTGTACTTTGTAGTTGTCCCAGTTGTAAGTCAATTCTTTACTCGCCTTGCAACTCGAGGCTTTGTAGTTGTACGTGCCACAGTTGTAAGTCCACCGTCGACTCTCAACTTGAGGCTTTGTAGTTGTAGGTGTCCTAGTTGCAAGTCCACTGTTGACAGACAACTCGGGGTTTGTAATTGTAGTTTCCATAGTTGCATGTCCATCCCTCGACTCGCAACTGTTTTTTTTATAGTTGCAGTTTTCCCAGTTGCAAGTCCACCATCGACTCGCCAACTAGGTTTTGTACCTGTAGTTGCCATAGTTGCAAGTCCACCTTCAACTCGCAACTGGAGTTTTTTTGTAGATGTTGTTGACCTAGTTGCAAGTCCACCCTTGACTAGGAACTGGGGCGTTTTTGTAGTCATAGTTTCGCAGTTGCAACTCCACCCTGAACTCCCAATTGAGCTTTCTGTACTTGTAGTTGCCCCAGTGGCAAGTCCAAACTCGACTCGTAACTAAGGTCTTTATACTTGTAGGTGCCCCAATTGCAAGTCCAACCTCGACTCGCAACTAAGGTCTTTGTACTTGTATGGTCCAACCCATTTTTTGTAGTAGTTGCAAGTTCAACCCAAACACACAACTCACTGACCTAGTTGCATGTCCACCCTCAAGCAAGTTGCTCCCCATTCCTTTCTAGTTGCATGTCCAAACTAACTTGCAACTCGCCCGACCCAATTGCATGTCCAACCCCAACAAGCAACTTGCCCCCAACCCCTATCTAGTTGCATGTCCAAGCCCACCACACAACCTACCTGACCCAGTTGCATGTCGAACCCGACCATGCAACTCATGCCCAACATAGTTGCATGTCCACTCTCGCCACGCAACTCGTTCCCCAACCCAGTTCCCCTATCTAGTTGTATTTTTTCCTCAAATACATATCAATTTTATAATACACATTATATATTTTTCTGTCTACAAGAGAAACATTTTATAATACACGCTGAATATTTTTTAAATACATGATGAATACTTTTTCAAATATAGGCCCAAGCATTTTTTAGAATAGATGGTAAACATTTTTTACAAACTCCAGCTAAACATTTTTTTAAATGGTATCTTTTAAGAAAAATACACGAACACTTTTTTACATTGGATAAGCATTTTCTAGAAAAAAATTTGAAATGCGTGAAGTTTGTTTAAAAAAATTGTTACGAACACTTCTTTGAATGTTACAAGCCTTTTTTTTCATTGTATAATACATTCTTTTTAAACATCACAAACATTCTTTTGAAATGCGTAATTTTTATTCAAACGTCAAATTTTTAAAATGGTATCAAAAATAGTTTTATTTAAAATTTATGATTAAAATAAAAATAAACTAATGTATTCATGTTTTTCATAAAATGTTTGTTATAGTCAAAAGTGTCCACACTTCAAAACTGTTCCGGGGTTTTTGAAAATTGTTCACATTTTTGAAATTTGTTTGTGAAGAAAATGTTCAGAACACCAGAATTTGTTCAAAATGATCAGAATTACAAAGTTTATTCACATTTTAAAAAGACTTTTCAAAATTTCAAAATTGTTTGTGTTTTCAAAAATATTCGATATTTCAAAACAAAATTACAATTTGCAAAAACCAAATCAAAAATATCAAGAATGTCATCTAATCTCGTGCTGTACTACACTGGTGGAAAAAGGGCCTTTGGTCGCGGTTCGCAACTGCCATTAGTCGCGGTTGCGGAACCGCGACCGAACGGGCGCGACTAAAGGCCCCCCCCTTTAGTCGCGGTTGCTTAAGAACCGCGACTAAAGGCCCGTCCACGTGGGCGCCAGGTGGCCGTCGGGGCGGAGGACCTTTAGTCGCGGTTCTTCTGGCCAACCGCGACTAAAGGTCGCCGCAGGTTTAG